CAGCTTACATGTGAAACAATCTCTTGAAAAAAGCCATTGACAAAAGATGCATTTAATTCATTCAGTGATTTGATGAATATGGAGAAGATAGAGCCAAAAGAAAACAAAATTATGAACAAGCTCTTGCCTGCCCAGTTCTTATCAGCTATACATCTGTTCAAACAATGTCAACTTATGACAGTGAACTTTGTATTAGAAGAAATAGACTGAACTGCCATGCAGGGAACAGAACTTGGATAACCAAAATATCATTAAAATATGATTTTCTTCAACACCACTTATATTCATAAGTGCTTGCTTACATCTCCAAACTAACAGATTGGTACTGAGCAACATCTCAGCTGAATATCTAAATTTCCCTTCATGCGTTTGGATTCGCTTGCATTTCTACCACCACAAAACCTATAGGTGGTTAAAATGTGCTGCTTTCATATTCAAAAATTTGTTCTAGTGCGCTGTCATTAAAGACTGAAACACGGGGCTTTATTACAATGGCCTTGTACACAAGCAACAATCATCCCATTAAAAACTGAGCTACACTCTATATACAAACAGCTTTCTACAGCACACAATGGAAAATATCCATTTAAAGATGCCAAAAGACAAGTGTCATAATATTTTTAAAAACTGCTGCAAACCTGCTGGTGGGCACAGCGTGGGGTTCCAAAACAATAAAATGAAAAACAACAGCCACATTTGGAGATTAGCGTAGGTGAGCCTATGCATGTCACAAAAAAAATTATGTTTTGTTAAGTTTATGACTGGAATGATTATTATCTTGCTTGTGCGATAATGTGGCTTATCATAACAAAGCACAATGGCCAACAAGGAGCATCAAAATATCAACATTGACTAGACAGCTCAAAAAGATTAAACAATATCCTGATATGAAATAGGCTACTGGGAATATCAAAACGTACAAACAATATATCTCTGATTCATAGTTGCACAAAAATTATAAAACTACTGGGTTTCGATTCAAATTTCAAGAATCGATTCGATTCCGATTCTCAAGATCTTGAATCGGTTATCATTATTCGATTCGATTCGATCCGATCTGATCCGATTTTCGAGATTTAGATAAGTGTTTTTGTTTTTTCCAGCTGTTACCTGAAGTACAGGACTGTAGTTATGCAACATATTGATACTATTAGGCTATTATAGACATTTAACTGCTTGTTTTGAACTTCATGCATGTGTATTGAATGTTAAACAAGTTCATAATGATAACAAACAAGACTGTTTATCGTGGTGATGTGTAGCCTACAGAGTGTTCGCACAGACAGTGAATGAGAGAGATCGGCAGAGCGCGTGCGATTACCTGCGTCTGTCTTTGAAGTCATATGTATTGGTGTAAAAGGTTGCCGTGTCAAAGGAAAGCGAAATATTTGTCGTATCATCCTTTTAACGTTCACGTCACGGGTATTTACCATAAATGCGCGTCAGCAGCAGCGCTGGGTCAGCATTCCACAGCGCGAGGAAGCCGTGGGGAAATAAAATCAGCGAGTCACGCATTGAATCAATGCCATTTTGGTCTCTAATAAGTGAAGCATCAGCTTCAGCGTTATGCGACGCATTGCTGCTCAGCTGAGCCTTGAAAAGTGGAACTCAAAGTTAAAAATAATGAACACCTTGTTTCATTAAATCTCTTTTAATGAATCAGCTTTTTTGAACGTGTTCGTTGAATGAACGAATGACTCACTCAAAGCCCGTTGTTGTAACAGTGTGCGCGCTGAGTGAAAGCCTTTCAATGCGCATATCAGGGATCTCCAGTCGCGGCAAGTTAAAGTTCACGGGGAAAATGTAAGCCTATTATTAAATCGATCCTCTGAGTTACGGATCGATCTTTAGAAATTAATATGAAAATCGATTCAGAATTGGTGAATCGATTTTTTCAACACAGCCCTACCTGCTACTACTCTAAAGAACTAACAAAGTAGTTTCCCACTGTCATATTCATGTCATTTTCACTGTGCTGTATGTATTTAGTGTTACTACCTTGTCTTTATTTGAAAAAAATATGATTCCCAGTGGGCACAAACTTGCCAGATTACCGAGTGCCCTGTTGGTTACAGCGTTTACTTCCTTTTTTATTCATTATTTTTTGTAACAACAATTTATGTATTTGTGAAAAATGCTGTAATAGGATTATTACAGAATCAAGAAGTTATATCGGCTTTATATCGGCCACTGGTTCTTCTAAGTATTAAACTGATGGAAACCAACTCATTGCGATACACGCACGTGCACAGAAAGCCGCCTCTCAGACAGTGTGCGATACCGAATTCAGTTCTCTTTCGCGGCTTACACTCGAACAGTCAAATACACACACAGTTATGTCAAAATTCCAAACTTTTGTAGCTTTATTATGAATCAATGTATATTTAATTCATGTGAAGACTATGCAGTGTGTTTTAGTTTTACATTTCCCTGAAAAACTTAAAGCACTGTTGATTTCCTTTGTATCTTTGTTTTATTGTATCTGTCCTATTGTTTGTAAGTTGCCTCATTGTTCTTATTTTAAATAAAATATACATTAAAATAACTAAAATAACTAATCGTCCACCTCTAGTTTCAGGTGTTTTTGATTACCTGGATGTTCTTGATATTACGTTTTCAGGTTGACACCATATAGCGATTACACAGCAACACTTTAAAACCACTCAAAACACCTTAGAAACTGCATAGCAACAGCCTGGCATCATGTAACATGTTCCGAACATGTAAAAGAAAAGAAAAACATCATAATGTAATGTAACATAAATCTGACTCCCTGATCTCAATTTTTGGATGACACACTGCAGATTTTAGATCAAGTCGGGCTATATTATGCATGCAATGGAAACTGATTGCAGATTGTGAAGTGTTATGCATTAAAGCTTATGTTATGGTTTCAGATGACTGCAGTTGTAAATTACAGGAATTACAGTAAAGTATCAGACCACTAATTTGAGAGGTACAGTTGAACATTGAAGCCTAATGATGCAGAACCACCTACTACCTGAGTTATGGCAAAACATTAATCAAGTAAAGAGGGATTTGACAGTTCTCCCAAACAAACACATCCTCCACTGGATGTCTTTATAAAAAAAAAAGAGGATACTAAACTCAGAATGGCTAAACAAAGAAGGTTACAGTCACAGTCTCACACAGAAGTGAAAGTGTAAAACAATTAGCCCGTACAGTCTGAATGTGCCGACTGTTGGGGGTTTATCCAGCGGTTAAAATGGGATGTATTTTTGAGAGGCAAAACAGCTGGGCTTTATTCATTAACTCTATAACATTAAGTGATGGCGTATAGTGTGTTTGTTTCTCCTTTGTTATGTCATAAAGAACCACTTACACAGTAAACAGCATTGGCGTACTGTAATTATTAAAATTGCGATGAAACAGAAGTAGTTACAGATCTTTTCCACCATATCGTGCCGTAAGCCCAAAAGTAGCGGATTATCGAAAAAGAAAAATTGTAGGGGGCGGAGACTTGCTTCTGTGCATCGGCTGTTGATTGGATTGTGGGATGTGGGTGTTGCACTCAAAAGTGGAGGCAGATGAACACGGGCCTGCGCACTAAATGACAGGTGAAGTCCTGCTGCAAACGTCACCAGAGAGAAGTTAGCCGTTTCACCGGAAGATCTAGTTATTATGACATTTTGATCATAAATGATGAGGTCAACAAAAATTTTTTAAGTGAAATATACATGGATGAATCATATTTCTTAATCAGATATTCAGAGAATTTTTGATAGGGTAAAAAGATACGGTAAATTTTAATTTCAAGCCAACTTTATTGTTTCTAATAACACTGATTAATCAAAATATTATTATTGGCATCCTTCTACACTTTGGTCCACAATTTTCAAGCACAATAAACGTGAACTCAATAAGTGTTTTGTGTACACTTAGCTGGTTCTTAATTATCTCATTCTGACTCTCAGAAATATGAAGTTTGTGTAATGGCACTTCACCAAATCTGTTTGTTTATCTAATGTTTTGTTCAATTTTCATCTGTATTTTTTACAGATTGTTGATCCAACTGTGACTAGTGACAACTAAAACTAGTACTAGTAGTTAAACTAGTAACGTTCAAAAACTTCAAATAGAAATCACAATAATAAAATTAAAAATGTTACTAGTAACAACTGGGAACTCGTGACAAGTCCACAAGTATTAATGGAACTGATACTGGTAAGTAAGTGGTAATTACTTGAAAAGGTAACAACAACAACAACTGGAATACATCTCACCACAGAATGGAACCGGTGATATCAACAAACTCTATATATATATATTTTTTTCATACTAACAATAGCTAGTAGGTATTAACAATAGGATAGTAGCTTGTAGGACAGAATTAGTACTAGTATGTACTGAATAAGTCCTAGTGACTATTAAATAGATAGGCTACTAATAATTATTGGAATAAGTAGGCTAATAGTATCTAAATCTAAAATAAAATAAACACTAGCCAGTTTTAAGGAATAAATGTTCAAACGGTTTGCCATTGACCCCCTGGTCACACGTGACATCATAACAATACCACTATCTTAATAAAAAATGACATCATCATCACGCAACACGAGTCGAGATAACATCTCCACACTTCAGTTCCTGGACATCCCCAGATGATGATGATTATAATAATCATAACAATACATTCAACACTAATTAATGAACACAATTACCAGTTTCATTTAAGCAGGCCTCACAACAGCAAGCTGCGAGAGAATATGCACACAAAAAAACGTATAGTTACATCACAATGAATGAGCGAAGATATATCAACAAAAGCGTTGATACAAATGGGATAAAGTTGACAGAAATATTCAGATATGAAGTCAAGCGACGTTTCTGCCGCTCTGAATGGCCTCAGCACAAAAACCAACCAGACCACTTCAGATGACAATACACGAGTGCTTTCTCCACGGTCATCTGTCAAAACCCTCATAACTTGGGTATTAGACTATAACATAAACAGTGTAATAACTCGGGCGTCTCCTTACCTGACTCGCTTTGTGCAGCTGCTTCTTAAACCCCGCCACCGACATCCTTAAATAAAATGAAACACGAAGAGAGATGACAAGAAAATCTTCAGGGGGCAAAAGATGGGGATCCAATACTCCAAAAAAATCACAAATTTGAATATATTTTGAACGCTTTCGGTCTATTTCACCGCCGCTGGAAGATGGACCTGCATTTCGCGGTGGGGTTTTTCTCCTCACTAACAAGTGCTGGTCGGTTATGTTTGTTTCGAGGATTGTGATTGGCGGAGAGGCGTATACGTCACGGCAGCATCTCGGAGAACCCCTTTACTAACCAAAACACTATATCAGGGTTTGACAGAAATAGGAGGAACCTTCAGCCGCTCGAACATCCATCCAGGAAATATGCGGCGACTCAACAAACCATTCTTTGTAGGCACTGATATATAATCCAGACTAATGCAAATATCAGCAATTGTGTAAGGAGCACAGAGAGTGTGTGTGAAACTGAGTAGTGACTCCCAGTCCCAACGCTGGTCCTGGCATACCAGCACTGCAAATTTTAGATGTCTCCCTCCCCAATCAAACACATCTTATTCAGCTCATCAGCCTAAGATACGAGAGAAATAAAAAAAAAGTGCGGTGGGGTTACTCCAGGACCACTGCGGGAGCCACTGATTTATTGAATTAGAGTACCGGTACCCGCAGAGCATTAACAGCGATCCGCTGCCCCCTAGTGGCACTTCATGAACCCTGCCGAGAGAACACTACTGTGTGAAGAAGTCTAGTGGGATGCAATGAGGCCACTAGTGAAAATCAGTCGTGACTCGTGTCGTGATATAGCCTAATGAAAAGATATTGGTAACACTTTACAATAAGGTTAATTGGTTAACTACCTTAGTTAACATGAACTTACAATGAACATTGTCTAATATTAATTTCAGCACTTACTAATGCATTATTAAAATCAGAAGTTGTATTTGTTAACATTAGTTAATGCACTGTGAACTAACATGAACAAACAATGAACAGCTGTATTTTTATTAACTAACAAAGATGACTAAATACTGTAACAAATGTATTGCTTATTGTTAGTTAATACATTTACTAATGTTAACTAATAAACCTTGCTGTAAAGTGTAACCAAGATATTCAATTCTGAATTAGACTTTTGAATACACTTACTAGCTTCCCTTTGAATTTTCGTTTCTGTTGAATTTCTGAATTAGTTCAGACATTGTTGTTTTAATGTTGCAGTGTTTCACTGTTTTGACATTGGAAACGTCTGTTGCATTGGGGTACCATTTGAATGTTGAGGTAAATTTAGATGCTTGATGTGAATGTGCTGAGTGCTGCATGGATGACGACTGTTTTCATCATTGATAATAGCCCAATGTTTCTTGAGCAGCAAATCAGCCTATAGAGCATACCTGTCAACATTTGGTTTTCAAATTCCGGGAGATTTCTCCGGCGGGGGGGGGGTCGTTACAATGTACAACTTGTAACGACTGGAAATAAGGTGTGGCCCCTTTAAGAGCCTTTGCGCTCCCTGTTGAACTGTCGGCAGTCTGTAGGCTATTGTATGTGCGCGTCGAACACCCCATGTATGCGGGTAATTTCTGTTTGATGCTAATTTTTATCTTATTTTGTTTATTAAGTAACGATGTGGACGGTAGAACGTGTGACAGACAGTTAGGCTACACGAGTTCGATTTGGGAATAAAGTGCGAGTTGTGAGATGTCAATCGCCTCCGTGTGTCTGTCTGGCCTCTGCATGCAATAACTTCAGTTGTGAGCTATCCCTAATCTTCCTGAAGCAACGCGTTACAAACTGTACTTCAGTTTCATTGCGGGGACACCACCTTCACCTGCCATCATGTCTATCGGCTCGCTTTCGGGTTAAACTTTCCGCGACTGCGCAACTGGGTTATAGGTTGCCAGGTTGAGGTGACAAACGGGTTGAAATTGTAAATGGTCTGTGGATTGTGTGAATATAATGCATTTAATACAATCTGGCAACTGGTCAACATTAGCAAACATATTGGTCCGATTATTCATAAAGGAGTTTGGGCCATGCAAATTACGGGAGTTTCCCGGGAAAAATAACAAACCGGGAGGGGTCCGGGAGATAGGGCTAAAAAACGGGAGAAACCCGGGAAAAACGGGAGTGTTGACAGGTATGCTATAGAGTGAGTTCTGAATGATCACGTGACACTGAAGACTGGAGTAGCCTAATGATGCTGAAAATTCAGCGTTGACGTCACAGAAATAATTTACATTTTAAAATATATTCAAATAGATAACCGTTATGCATAGCCTATTAACTTTTGGCGCTCTAGATGTTAATAAACCAAACTGCATGCGCCTTGCGGAAGAACATTGTAGCCAGAGCTACTTCTCTCTCTCAGGTAGGCCTACTGGCCTACTCATTAGACAAAAACACGGGTTGGAATATATTTTGAACAAAAATAGTTGCATAGTGTACGGTACCTTTAAATTTGTAATGATATTTCACAATAGTAGTGTTTTTACTGTACTTTTGTATCAAATAGGCTAAATGCAGCCTTGGTCAGCGTAAGAGACTTCTTTCAAAAACATTTTTAAAAAATCTTAGGCTATAGGTCTACAGTCAAACCAAAAAATATTCAGACACCAGATAGGCCTATAATGTTTTATATATATTTTAATAGTGGGTGCAGGACACTATAGTTAATTTATGTAAGTAAGGATAGCAAAATAAAGTAAACTGTTTATTATACCCAAAAATTATTCATACGTGGACTACCAGTAAAATTTCTAAAAATTATTCAGACACTTTGACCTGACCATGTTTTGCTTAAGTGTTTTTTCTTTAATTGCTAATTTGCGCCACAGACTGAACAAATTAAGCATTCCTTGGTAATTGGTTGACCTAAATTGGTATTATCTAATTGTGTACTTCAATTAAACAGCTGACAGCTATTCAACCTAATTCATTTGTGAGACAGTCTAACAGAAGGATGACCAAAACGAGTGAAATATCAACTGATTTGATAACTCTGAGTTATTGTCATATTTTATTACCATTTTCTAAACTATAGGTATATATATATATATATATATATATATATATATATATATATATATATATATATATATATATATATTATAGAGTATATTTTTTATAGAGTAGGCCTATATATTTAAAAAAGTAGGCCTATCTATCCAATCCATACATCTATCTGAGAATTTGACTTTTTCTAGCCTGTAGCTTCATAAGTTCACCACTAGATGTCGTACATAGTACTACAGTACTACAGAAACATAGTTTCCCTGCTCTTCAGAAATCGGTATTGGTATATATAGGGCATTGAAAAACATAGTCAGTCATTAAAAAGAGTGCACTTTGTTGGTTAAAAATGATCTGCATTGTGAAAAGACCCATGAATGTATGTTGTTTTGGGTTTTTTTTTTTTTAAGAAAGTATAAATTTAAGTGGCATTTAAATGGCAAAAACTAAAAAGTAGGTCACTTTTGACTTGCAATTATAAAACCTGGATTAGGATTTAGGCACCAAAAGAGCGGCGTACAAGAAAAGGGTTGTGCTGTCCCAGGATTTCCCAGGGCTGCATGTCCAGAGGGGTATTGCACAAAAGTAGAATTAAGAAAGCCAGGATAAAAGACCAGTCCCGGCTTGACCTAGTTTAATCAGTGCATCCTGGCTTAATCCGTTGCACGTTTGCTGAGCCAGGATGAGAACGCGCGGATATGTCAAGCCAGGTGTATATAGTTTGGATAAATGCACGTTCACGGCATTCTTTAAAAGATCACGAAATCGATCACAGAATCACCGATCCGAAAATGGACAAAACGCGTGCGGCATACTTTTCGCCTAATGAGCAACAGCTTCTTATGGAAACGTATGAAGAAGTGAAACATATAATATGTAAAAAAGGCAATACAGCTGCTGTAATAAAACAAAGAGAGAATGCATGGCAAACAATAGCGGACCGATTGAATGCGTAAGTAGTCCAAAACCAGTGCTCCACTGAAACCCTCATAATTACAATTCAAGGAGTTACTTGTCATTTTCAAAAATAATTGTATACTTTGCCTTAAATGTGACCAGTGAACATGCATTTAACATGAAGAATAATTGCAAACACTTACCCACTATGTGTATCTATTTAGTTTATTTTATGTCTATTATCTCTTTAATCTTTTTACTCTTATCTATTTGTATGTAGGTTTTGTTTTTAATTGATTTGATGTAATCTATAATCAGATATTTTGCTCTATTTTTATCCATCTAATCTATTTTATCATTTGTATCTATTCCTCTTAAAGAACAAACATGTCTGGCCAAAAAAGGACTTGGCAGCAAGTCAAGATTAAATACAAGAATATTTTGCAGGCTGGTAAGTGACTTGTTTGCGGAGAACATAGGTGACATGTTTGCTGACATTTTATTGTCTGTGCTGATTTTAGCAATAAAAAAAAGTCATATATCTGGTACGGGGGGTGGCCCTCCAACCCAAGACTTCACCCCAGCAGAGGAGCTGGCCCTGGACCTAAATAAAGGGAAGCCAGTGATTGAAGGGATCCAGGGAGGGACATCCACTGACTCTGGCCCAGCAAGGGATACTGGCCTCTTCATACAAAGTACATTATTGCCATACAACTGCACATGGAAAATATTGAAATCCATATATATTTTGTTTTGTAAACTGTGTGACTTTGCCTTATAGTGGCTGGTAGCACCCTTACACTTTTGGAGCCAACAGACTATGATTTGCCGGTGAGTACTCTTTATTAAATCATAGGCTTTGCATGTCCTGTCAAAAAATATCAATACAAGTATTGAAATGGCAGAGGGAAGCCACATCTACAGCAGTGGAGTGCACTTCTGCCGATGATGAGACCGTGTCGCTGGACTCCAGAAGGCTCGAGGTATTTTGTGAAAATAGACACATTTTTTTATAAGTTCATAATAGATAAGAAGTCAGGGAAGTGGTACTAATAGAAAATATTATTTGTTACAGGATCCTGACATTGGGCAACCTGATAAGCAGCCTGGTAACATAGTGCGTATTGCCTAAAGTAAATTTACATTATGCCAAAATTCTGCTATGCTAACTAAAAGGTCTTCACAGAATTCACAAACTGTCAGATATCTCTACACAACCCATCTAAAGAGACAGATCGAGCTGACAGAAGTCAAGATTGATGTGAACAAAAGAAACCTGCAGGACATGGACCTTGAGATGCAAATTAAACACAAGACACTGAGGAAACTAGAACTGGAAATCCAGAAACTAGAAAGAGAAGTAAGTGACTTCAGTTCATACTGTAACCATGACTGTAACACAATGTATTAATCATTATATTTTTTTCTCTCCAAAGCTCCAAGCTGACAAGTGATAACAGAAAAATAATAAAAGAAAAATATTCCAAAACCATTGTGGTCTTGTAACTTTTTTTTATGAATGTCAAGTATACACTTTATATTTATTGATCCAGTGAAGTGGAACTAGAATTTGGGAAGATAACCACAGTGTGTGCTGCTGATTCCAAATAAAATAGTTATATAGCCTGCATTATCCTTTATTAAGGGATGGGCTAAATCAAAACTAAATTAACTGAAATAATTTGCAATGTATTGTTCTCTTACAAGTCTTCCATTTCTGTTATCTGGGAATATGGCAGCATTGTCCCAATTAACATCCAAAGCAACTCTGGGAGCCCTTTCTTTTCTTAGGCTGGCAATATTGTGCAGCACTGTGCAGGCAACAGTCACATCACATGCTCTGTCTGGGGAGACCCTCAGGTGGTGCAGGCACTGAAATCGTGATTTCAGGAGGCCGAAGGTCATTTCAATTCGAGCCCTGGTTTTGGCATGGGCATGGTTGTAAGCTTGCTGTGCTGGGGTTTGGGGGTCTGTAAGGGGAGTCATCAGAAATGTCTCACAGGCATAGCCTTTGTCCCCCAGCAGCACACCAGAGAACTCACCTGCGAATACAAAACATAATTCTTACAAGTACTGTACCCTTGATGTTCAAGGTGCTTAAAAAAAATGGGGTGGCTTACCTAGAGCGAGTCTCTGGTAAATTCTACTTGCCCGAAAGATTCTGGAGTCATGGACTGAGCCAGGCCACTTTGCCTCTAAATTTGTGATAAGGCAGTCAGCATCACAGATCATCTGTAAAAATATATAGCCTATTAAGGTCATTTAATGCACAGAATAATTATGTAGCTGACAGTAACCATAACTCATTCTTACCTGAACATTGACACTGTGGAAGGATTTCCTGTTAACATAATCTCCCTCATGTGCCCCTGAGGGGCGTTGGATACGAAAATGGGTGCAATCCACTGTACCAATTACATTAGGAAAAGCTGTAACACAAAATAATGAGTGTCATACTGTGACTATGCTAATGTAACATTTTGTAGTAATCTGTTATTATTCGTGTAACCTGCAATCTTGTAGAACTCCTCCTTGATGTGGATGAATCTTCTGTGACCAGGGAAGGTGATAAATATGTGCACAAGAGATTTCAATGCCAGACTTACATTTCTTATTGTGCGGCAAATAGTGGCTTTATTGAGGTTTTCTGCATCACCGACAGAATACAGAAACATGCCACTTGCAAAGAATCGCAGTGCTACGCAGACCATCTGTGGGACAATGAGAGCATGGCTCCGTGCTGTCTTGTGCTGTATGTTTGGACCCAGCAGCCTACACAAATATCTGATGCCATCACCTGAGAATCTGTACCTCTCAGTCAGATATTCGTCTGAAAAGGCCAATGGGTCTGCCCTATCTCGGAAGACTCTTTCATGCCTGAATGCTCGTCTGAGTATTAAAACTTCCTCATCAACTACATCATCCAACAAAGGACAAGCCATTGTGAATAGGAAACACACAAATCTTTAGTCTATATATACTACATATTGACCTCGTTACGGACTTAATTGAAACCACATTTGCAACTTCATGAGCCATTTCTTATTATCTCATCAACTGCAAAAAAATTTTTTTCTCATTCAACAGTACATTTCTACTCTATACTTGCATATATAGATATACATAGTCTATATTCTATTTCTCATATTGTATAGTATAGTTATTTTGCACTGTGTTGGCATTCATTGTGGACAGCAAAGTAATAATTGCTCAGGAAAATCTGCTTTCCTCACTGGGTGTATGACAATAAACGCTTTAAATCTCGAATAATATATATATATTCATCAAACCTCTGACAGTGAAATGAACAGCAGTTTTCAATAATAACTAAAATAACAGTACGCATACTTAGATGAATGACAGTATATCTAGTATTTTAATGCAGGACCATGAAGTGACTAAAACACATTAATATTTAGTAGGATTTAGGGAGGAACTAGCCGATAAATCACTAGGATTAATCTTAGCCTGGTTGTTAGCCTGCTCCGGAGCAGGCTAGCTGCAAAGTGTAAATCTCCATAGTAACTTAATGTAGATTAATTTAGCTTCCCTTCATGCAACCAAGTAAGGGCTAAATTCAGCCAGGATAACTGGAAAATCCCAGCTTAATCCCTTATCTTGCTTTTGTGCAATACCCCCCAGGAGTAGGCCTATAGGGTGACTAAACCTATAACATTGCTGTTTTCACCAAGATCCACTGAAAATGAAGAAACTTTTTAAACCAGCCTATAAATAACTGTGAATTCCTTAATTGAGTTTATCTACACTACTACTTGTAGTTATTTTGAAATCATTTTTAAATATGTGTAATAGTTTTGCCATGTGTGTGGGTGAGACAACAATGAATCGTTTTTATTAACAAATCAAAATAAACATGCAGGAGATCATGAGCAAAAAACTATCAAACACAAACCACATTATTAGCGTAAACGAGAACTGATCACAGGCAACAGAACCGCAGGGCTATAATACATGGATTGAACAAAGGAAACCAAACTAGACACAGCTGAAACTAATGGGGAACAAACAAGGACATAATCAGTAAATGCAGGAAAACAGGAACAGAACAAAACCAAATACATAGCCTACTCTTGACAGTATTGTCTTATCTTTGTATTTCCCAGAACGTGTATGTTTATCCCTATGAGAATTTTTACAAGAATGCGTGTGGAGAAAATAAATGGGTTAAAATGTTTCCAAAGCCATTGAAAAAAAAAGAGTATAATGACTCTTTGCAAAAAATGTATGTCATGCTATGAGTATTTATCTATTTATTAAATAATTATAGCTTTAAAAGGATTCATTATTCTTTAGTTAAACCATTGTCACAAAGTGGTTTCATTAAATGTAATCCTTTTGTAAATACTTCTAATTTCCTAGCCCTTTATGGAAGGTGGTGCCATGAATAGTGAGAACAATATCATATTATCTCAAATATATATAATGAGATGATGTTACCATTACATCAATTATGTTTGTTTAGCGATCACACCTTAAAATTATCCACTTTTATATAGGCCCTAGTCCAAACAAACAATTTGGTGTGAATTAGAAAACTTGTGTCCTGTTATGTTTTACTAATGGCCGACCTAAAATGCTATGTCAACTCTTTATCATTTTATCCTTCACTAAGACAGTTAGATCTGTGACTTCACTTCACACTCTATTCTTTTTTCTTTTGTCATAATGCAAAGCTTCCGAAACAATTGTTGGATTGTGAAAGACTGGTAAAAGGAACCTTGCTCAAGCCAAATTTCTTAACTACACAATGGAATATATGAAGATGCTACAAATATGCAGGAGGGTAATACAGTTTGTTTTTTTGTTTATTTGATTTTTTTTAAGTAATAATAATAATTTAGGCTAATAGTTCCCATAACTGTAGAAAACACTGCCAATGAGCAGGTAAAACCGTTCAATTGCCACTTGCATCTCTGACTCAGACAGAATGTGACTGTTACACAACAGAATGTTCCACAACATTAACAAGTTCTGGAAAACATTGGTATCCACCATACGTCATATCCCACATGCTATTGACTGCGAAACTGGATTGACCAATGTAAGGAATGAATAAGTGATAGTTTGGTAACCGTTTCAGCACTTTATAATTTCACGTTTCCAGTGGCCATGCAGAGATCATGTGATATGATCATGATCCACTATGTTACCATCTTACAGCTTTGTTTTGGCACAATAAAAGTTATGGTGCATATTTAATGGCACATAAAAGTGCCAATGCGCCAATAAAGACATTTATAATGTTACAAAAGATTTCTCTGTAATAATAAATGCTCTTCTTCTGAACTTCTGAATGGTTTCCACAAAAATATAAAGCAGCACAACTGTGCATACCACATTGATAATAATAATAATAATAAACATTTCTTAAACAAATCAGCTATTGGAATGATTTCTGAAGGATCATGTGACAATGAAGACTGTAATGATGCTGAAATATATCAAATGTTCTTCACTTGAAAAAAAAATGTTGTTAAGAATTGATCACTAAAAGGTTCTTGTTCTTCATGGCATTACTTGGGAAAACCCTTTATTTCCAAGAGTTTATATTGAAATCAGTGTGATACAGTAGGCCTACTAGTTCTTCGGGCATGAAATCAGAGGGTTTTCTTTCTCTATTGCGCAAAAAAGCCCTATAATCCGATGAACATGACTGTTGTTGAGTCAGCGAGATACTCAGATACTCCTGACATCCTGTGTAGCATCAAGCTATTGAATTCAAACCTCTTATTATATACCACTAACACGTACAAGGACATACTGAAGCGTCTAGACATTGTTCCTTCCCCTGTATGTTTAAAAGGAGTGCAATTTTTGGTCATTTTAATACCCAGCACTTTCAAAGCATGTCATTAATGCTTCTCAAATATAGGCACTAGCGAAAAGGAAAACTCTAATTATTGTATAGAAACTGCAGAAGTCCCTTTTGGACTCATCTTGTTGCTGCATGTTTATAATATTGGATATCAGAATATAATTTTTGATTTGAACTTACAGTTACGGGGCACGATAACTTTACATAAAAAGTATTGTGAAGAAGTTTTTACCGTTTTAATAAAATATGAGAGGTTAAATTAAAAATATATTAATTGTTACTCTGTAAACCAGTTATAGGAAGAATAATAATCTTAAAAAGCAGAGTTTTTTAAGTATTTATTTTAGATTATAACATGCTCCATGTTGTAGATTATAGGCTATATATACATCTTTTTCTTTTTTTTTTACTTGTTGTTAAATGTTTGTTTTTCACATTCGTCTTGCCTGGCTTTATTTCGGGGTGGATCCTCTGTGACTCGTACGTGTTGCGTCATGCAATGACTCTGCTGTACGTCATACAAATACTCATGCGCCACAGCTAGTGATGGGCGATACTGCAAATTTCTGTATCGATCCGATACCAAGTAAATACAGGGCCAGTATCGCCGATATCGATACCGATACCGATACTTTTTCATTTTAAAAGCATGAATTTGAACTTGTATGCACTTTCCTGTGCTAGAGCAGTGTGTCATGATTTATGAGGTGAATGCATCATTAATATGCTAAATCTGAACACGTTTTCATGACTACTAGGCCTAAATATTTTGTGATTTGTGCTCTCAGCTCCCCTTTAATTAGTCAGTGACTTTTACAAAACTACCCTAATTATAGTAATAGCCTACTAGTACTAGCCTACTGTTCAAAAGTTTGGGGTCTGTAAGATTTTTATTTCTCTTAGTAAAAACTGTAATATTACAATTTAACATAGGCTATCTGTTTTCTATGCCATAGTAAACTGTAATTTATTTATGTGATCAAAGCTAAATTTTCGACATCATTACTCCAGTCATGATGATAATTCATTTTAATATGCTGATTTGCTGCTTAGGAAACATTTCTTATTATTATCAATGTTGAAAACAGTTTCATATTTAGTTGGAAACCATGATACATTTTATGCAGAATTATTTGATGAACAAAGTTCAAAGAACAGCATTTATATGAAGTAGATTTTTTTTAAGAGTGCAAAACCCTTGACTGTCACTTTTTATCAATTTAATGCATCGATCCTTGTTGAATAAAAATATTAATTTCATAAAAAAGATCTTACTGACGTCAACATTTTAAACCGTTATGTACAGTTTTGGTTTGTTTATTGCGAAATAACTCCCGATTGTTTCTCTGTCATCTAAGCAAGGCTTCGTTTCCCAAACGCACTGGGCATGTGAGCTCAGCGAAGCACCAGCATCGAACGCTCTCTGTGATTGATTGGTTTCGTCTTGTATACAGATGACTAGGATAAAAGGTTCTATCCTGCACAATTACCCGCTAACATTCGCTTATTTTTCCACTTAGAAGCTTATTTTACGCACTGAATTGCGTGCTAAATTAATAAAAAATTACTGGTAAAAAAAATACACATTTGGATCGATATTTTTATGTGAGGATCGATCCTTTTCGATACCACGTCAGTATCGAAGTATCGATACTTCAGGATCGATCCGCCCATCACTAGCCACAGCACTTGACTTCATAATCGTTTCAGCCAGCCACGAGGACAGACTGAAGGTTACCTGCTTCAACAGTGCTTGAACGGCAACCGAATTTCTGTCTTTTCGCTTTTCCATTAACCAAATTCTTTGATTCCAGTAATTTTGTTTTCGGTCAAAATCGAAAATTTGGTTTTAAGACGCTTGCTTTAAAAAGGAAATCTACGCGAACCAGCGTCGTTGACCATCTTTGCGTATAATACCATTTAAAAGCAGTACAAACTACTAAAAGGTAAGTCTTCCATCAGAATCAATACATTTATTCACATATTCAATTCAAATTGTTTATTTTTGGTTTGATACATGAATAACTCGCTTTGCATAGAGATTGCTGCATCCATCACTAGCGAGCGTTATGCAAGGGCACCATCTTTATTTTTTTGTTGTTGTTTTTTTGTTTTTTTTTTATCGGTTTAGTCATGCAGGGATAAAATAATTTAATCAAGTAAAACTGGATTGACTTCAACGGCCTAATTGTCGTTCATTTGAATGGATGTAACGTTAATGTTTGTAAAGGCCACAGTCTTCTCAAATGGCCGACCCGTCTATATGATTCCTAATGTATTTTTATCTAACGTTAACATTTTGCGTTTGTTGTCGCGTGTGTAACGTTAAAGATTGGATTTGGAGAATTTTGTTATATTCGCCAAAAATAATCAATAACATCGAGCAATATAATTGAAAAATCGTGACGCTACTTTTCCAATGAAAGTAACTGTTAGCTGCTAGATGGGGACTGGAGCCGTCGAGCTCAGTGTGTGGAAATTATTTACAAGTTAACGTTAAATTTTACACGACGTTAATAATATATTGCACGTCTTCTGACGTCCTTCGAAGGACTTGATTACATGTTTTCTAACTTTGGGCTTTTTTTAACAAAAAAGTTAAAACCCCTAATTTCACAGTTCGTTTTTGCATGCTTAACAGCTGTTTTCGATAGTTGCGTCACAATCTTTTGTTTTCACGGCTAAAATTTTATTCTTGAGGAATTAGGCACTGCTCTTTTGATGCAATGAAAGTGGATGGGGACTGGTGTTGTCACCATCCAAAGCGCTCAAAAAATCGTTTAAAGCCGTTCCAACAGGTTTGGTTTAATGTTCCCAGGTCACAAAGGTTTTTTCCTAATCCTTTATTTAGTAAACGCAGACTTCGAGATTGTCTAGTATTTTGTTAAATATGTTGTATGAGGAGTTAACCTAGGCCAAATTTCAGATGTTTTTCAACAGTGTCATAATTATAGGTGAGTTAATTATAGATTAGACTACATACATTGGCCAGATCTCTTGGGTAGGTGAGACTGGACCAACAGGCCAAACCTTGAGTAGAATAAGGCTATCAGTGCCATGCAGTCATGTGCTTTTCCTCGTAACAAATACATAAGAGGGCTGAAGATTAACAGCACCTGTCCTGAGAATGTATACAATTTCGTACTGCATCTTACTGTGACTTAAACACCTGCTGCCGTGTCTGGAACAGACAATAGACACTTATTAGTGGGTCTGTGGTGAGCAATGATGTGTGGTAATGCAGAAGTTGGTGATGGAGTGATTACAATGTGTTTGTTAATAACAGGGATTTTTTTTATATATATGGAGGGGATTTTTTTTTATCTTAAACAGTCGAAAGATTTAATCTGTCCTCTCTTACAGAAACATGACCTCTCAGGTGCGACAGAACTTCGAGGAGGCCTGCGAGGCGGCCATCAACCGTCAGATCAACATGGAGCTGTATGCGTCCTACGTCTACCTTTCTATGGTGAGAGTTCAAAGCCATTACAACATCCCTTTCCCATTTGGAGTAAAGTATAGTGTTCTAGGTGAAAGGGATGGTGGGAAGGAGCATTGAGTTCAGTATCTAAATGAACTTTGCTTGAAAGTTTGGTCAATGATTTATTTCCTTTATTGCTAATTTCTGTTCTGATTATTTTATTTCTCTCATGCAGTCATACTACTTCGACCGAGATGATCAGGCTCTGAACAACTTTGCAAAGTTTTTCCGCCATCAGTCCCAAGAAGAGCGCGAACATGCTGAGAAACTGATGAAGTTTCAGAACCAGAGGGGAGGGAGGATCTTTCTGCAGGACGTGAAGGTACGTCTGTGTTCACGTGATAGCATTACAGTTTGGCAGGACACAGAGATAGAGAGGGTGGGGTTCTTATCTTTAACCGACACTGACTAAACTTCAACTGACAGTAGGCATGTTTATTAAGCTGCGCTTTGCCATCGTGAGAGATTAAAAAGCATAGTGGGCAACCACAAATGCTCTTAGGACCAGGTGATGTTATATCATGTGATCGGTACAGATTTAGCAATAACACTGATAATTGCATGAGTTGCAAGAGGGCAGGACTGATTTATCAGTTTCATTGGTAATGCAAAAATGGTTAGGTCACATGAAATGCTTCCTTTAGGAAGTTGACTTGGCATCTGACTAGTTGCCATCACAAGTTTTAACTGCATTTTGCCTATTGTTTAATCTATGTAGGGCTGCAACAAACAATTATTTTGATAATCTGTTGATATATTTCTTTGAATAATCAGATGAGAGGCTTACTTAAATCATTTAGACTGTAATTAATAAAAAAGACTGATTTTAAAATCCATAATTTACAAAATTTTCACATCCTGCTCAGTGTTTTCCTCCAAGCAATGTGCAATTTAAAGGTAGGGATGCACAGTATATTGGCCACCGTATCGGCTGATCTTTGTTCATTTTAATATTATCGTTATTGGGCCGTTAGGAGAATTTGGCCGATATATTAAAGCCGATAAATAGTGACTTATTTTCTTCAGCTGAGACATTTCGGATGCGCACTGCTCGCCATGATGGATTTGAATTGCTGTTTTAAATGATTTTAATCACTTCAAAAAGGAAAAATGCAGATAAGTGCACTGCAAGTCTGTCATATAGGCTACATAAAATTATAATGAGAACATTATAATTGTGTGCTTGGGACATGGCCTTTAATAGTGAGTTTTGTTTTTGTAATCAGGCTCTCAAATTATATAATTTAATTTATCGGCTAATATATCAGGTATCGGCTTTCATATCAGTGCATCCCTAATTTGAAGGCAATGAAAACAAATATAGGCAATGTGCAATTAAACATTTTGTGAGCTTGCAGGCACTTAAGTTTTGTGTGTGAAGATTTGCATCGCTTGCTGACTGTTGCGAAATGAAATTACTCGCGTGACTTCCTAACACAGATAAGGATACAACTGTAAAATGTTAGGTATGCTAACTATGCTCTGAGAAAAATGCGTCTCAATGCATCCGTCAAAGAAACATTTTCTCAATTAGAAATAGTGTCACGTAAAACCTACAATGCAAACTTTCCCTCAAATTTGACCTTAACTTGTTAGAATGTATTAAAGGATGTTTTGGGCATTATATATTTGCATCTAACAAGTTTGAATAAAAAAAAAAAAATGAAATGAGACCATGTATTTCTCTGGGTTATGTAAAATATGCCTTTTTTTCTTTTTTTAAATGCATGAATTAACATGAAAAAATATATTTTATTGTGATGCTATTGCTGGGTTACTACATTTATATGTACTGTAATATAAGATTTTGCTCATGCCACTTTTAATCTTTGTGTTTATGTATGACAGAAACCGGAAAAGGATGAGTGGGGAAGTGGCGTGGAAGCGCTGGAATGTGCCCTGCAGCTCGAGAAGAGTGTCAATCACTCCCTCCTGGAGCTGCATAAACTGTCCTCCCAGCACAACGACCCACACGTGAGTGTGACACCTCAGAAACCAATGCATTGACCATTTCAATCACAAACTAAACTTGATCCAAACGCACCCTTTTTGTTTCTTGCAGATGTGCGATTTCATTGAGACACACTACTTGGACGAGCAGGTGAAGTCCATCAAAGAACTGGGCGACTGGGTGACCAACCTGCGCCGCATGGGCGCCCCCCAAAACGGCATGGCAGAGTACATGTTCGACAAGCTCACACTGGGCAAGGAGAGCAGCTAAACGCTCTGTCCAATTCCTTTGCTGATTAGTTTTGCTCTATGCCCTACATGCCATCAACTTTTTTTTATGTTGTTTGACTGACTGGTCAACCTGTGTGTCCAGTTATTTAAGCAAAAAAACCTCTAAGCTTGTTTTGCTCCATAATGCTTTGGTGTTTAAAGTTGCACGTCTCATAAGCCATTGCTGTCTATATCTGTCTCCTACCTGCATGTGCTGTGTGATCTGTCAATGAAATTATGCTCCATATCAATAAAACAGAAACCTCTGGGATCTCAACTTGACTTGTGACTCTTTTTAAGTGTTTCCAGGCTTTGATTTGAGCCCTTGGAGCTTGTTTGAGGGGGTTGTTTATGGAAATGAATGAAGTTTATTTAAACTTAAATTAGTTTTCATTGCAGATTTGAATCTATATTGAGTTATGGTCTGAGGGCAGGAGTTGTAAAAAGTAGTGTGATAGTAATAAAAAAAAATTTGAATGGCAGTTAAATTTGTTTGTCCTGTACAGTAAGTGTACAGGTTGTTTTGGGCTCCATATACATTACCGCTCAAAAGGCTGCATGTATTTGATCATTTTAGTTATTTAGTATTTTTGCTATAACCTTTACATTTGAATATATTTTAAAATGTAACTTCCTGTTATGCGAAGCTGAATTGTAGCATTACTCTTCAGTGTCACATTCTATAGTTACTTTACATCCTTGCAGAAAAGTATTACTGACCTAAAACTTTTTAATGGTGGTGCTTGCTACACGCATCACAATGTGACTCATAATTTGCAAACTTTTGTATCCGTTTTTTATTTTCTATGGCTAATCCAGTGATTAAGATTTGATGGTGATAAATGTGAGAAGTCCTCAGTCTTAGGTTAGCTACGAGTAGACTTGCATTGATGCCAGTGAAATTAGACACCCATCTGATCCAATGTTGTTTCAGTCTATTACAATGAGTTTATTATTAAGCCACTTATATTACATGTGGTTTCACAGACAGGTTTTAGATTAATCCAGGATTAAGCATTAGTTCAATTAGGACATTTAAGTAGTTTTTATAAAAAAAAGCATTACTGGCATGCATCTTGAGACAAAACAATGACGAGACATATTTTAAGATATGTCACTGCAAGTTGCAAACCGCTTAAACATGCATTTTAGTAGCCTTGTCTGTGAAACTAGTGCTATAGCAGTGGTGAAAGTGTTAATATTTCAGCCAGATATGACTAATATCTGTAGTCATTACATCAGAAGAACAAAAGTGGTTGAGAAGGAAATAAAACTGGCTACTTCTCTTTTCATAAGAAGCAGATGTTAGTAAGCAGATGTTATATAACCTGAGTAGGCCTATATGATATCAGTATACACTTCCTCTTCTATCAACTGTCATAGATATAAAAAGTGAACGATGCATTTATAGCATGTAGAAAAAACAATGAGCGGTTTCTGCAGACCAAAACTGACCCAACTTATCCATTTGAAAGTGTTTCAGTTCATTGTGTACTTCTTTTGTTCCAAAACGATTCATTTTAAACCAATGTTGCCTTAGGGGAGAGCGGGGTAATGTGAGACATCGGGTAATGTGAGACACCCCCTGTATCTAGTCAACGGAACACATTTGTGGTCATGTGACCATTATGTTTTCAAGCCCATCCCATTTCCCTTTGGCCATGAAGGAGAGGACCTCATGATGCTGTGATAAGCATGTTTTTTTTTCACAAAAATATTTTTTTTGCATGTAAAAGTCATAGACAGTATAAGAAGTGGACAGAGCCATCTCATTGGAACTCAGTTGAGACAGTTGAAGCCCATTTTTAGCGATTTTTGAGCACTTCCGTTCCTGACGCGCAGACTCAAACCGACTCAAACTAAGCTTGATGACGTGAACAACCTGTCTGACAGCCGTGACTCTTCTAGTAGCTGTGCGTGAAAATTGCCAACGTTAATCTTGCAGAGACGGGGAACTTGAGCAAAGAGTTCTTTGGCGTGAGTGAGCAGGAGTATGTATTCCGTTGCTTTTATGGACTCATTATCTATGGGCTTCTTCTCTCTTGACGGGACGTCCCCCCGATTGCCTGCGAGCTTCTCCTCCTGTCTGTACGGTAATTTCTGTACAGCGCGACAGAGAGTCGAGTGGTTATGACGCAATCGTTAGCCTATTTTTACTAAAACTGTTTCTACGGGGCCATAATGTAACATAGAAGGTAATGGAGCCCTTTATACATTGTCGTGTTTCTTTAGAAATAAATAATGGACAAATGGAGTCTTTAAACGCCTCAGATGTAAAGTTATTCGCTGTCAAAGTGACGCCAAAATGAATGGTAGTCAATGGAAATGCTAACGCAAGTGAAGTTCTTCTACAAGATGGCGGTACCCGGCCGGCTTCAACTTCCGGTCGATGGATTACCCCCTTGGTAAAAGTAAATTTTCTTGCTGTCAACTTAATCGACTGTTGTGCCAAAGCAAATTGATTCAGGTCGAAAAACTTATATCATACTTGTTTATGAACTATTAACATATAAAACCATGTGATGATGCTAGCTGAAGAGTATCCTGAATTACTAAGAGAGATCGTTTTTTTCTAAAATGTGGCAGTGGGGTAAAGTGAGACAAATGCTGTGGGGTAAAGTGAGACATGAGGCACAAGTTAAGTTTAGTCTTAAACATATTTTAATGTAATATTACATTACATATGTTTTATTTTTTAATGTCATAAACATTGTAGAAAAGCCACCATGCCAAGGTAATACATCAGGAAGACAACCTGGGGAAAAACACCCCTCGAGGAGATGGAGAGTGCAGCCGCTGAGGTCAAGGAAGGAAAGAAGTCTATAAGAGCAGCTGCAAGGGATAGAAATATTGACAAGCCTGACAAGATATTGAGGAGGAGGAGCCCTGTTTTAAAAATGTGGAATATTGAAGCCAAAATGTTAAAAACGCAGTGCAGCTGCACAGCAGACACAGATGAACGGCTAGTGCGGTCATTGGATGTGCTGCGGCAACTGCACAAACCTATGGCGAGGCGGCTCTGACGCAAGAACCAATAAGGCTGTTTCGCGCCCTGGCGTGTCAGAGCCCTCCAGAATGGGTGTGGCCTAAGCCTTTACATTGGCCAGTTCAGCCAAAGGTAGTCGACTGAAGCGATCCCCTGATCAAAGCCACATACACTTTGAACGTGGAGGGGGTACGACCCGCGTCCAAACGCCCTTGTAAGAAGGCGAGTATACTCAATACTTAAATAGGGGTCCAGGCTCCGTGCAGCGCACCAGCCAGAAAATACCACCCATTTCTGAGCGTAGAGGCGTCTAGTTGACGGCGCTCTTGCCTCAGTGATCGTTTTCAGCACCCTTTCCGGGAGACACCCGGGTATCCGTTGAGGGGCCATACATAAAGGGCCCACAAGTCGGGACGGGGATGGCAGATTAATCGGTTTGGCTGCGTGAGGTCTCTCCTCAGCCGAACCGGCCATGGGGCTGTTTCCAGCAGCTGTACCAGCACAGAGAACCATGACTGGGTCTTCCAGAGAGGTGCTATTAGTAGCATTGCGCACTTGCTCTCCCCGATCCGTTCGATGACCTGTGGTAACATCGTGACCGGAGGAAATGCATACAGCGGGCGGCTCGGCCAATCGTGGGCAAGCACGATTGAGAAAAATATTCGGCAATGAGCGTTGTCTTCTGAGGCGAAGAGGTCGACCTCTGCCTCGCCGAAGATGCTCCATATTAGCTGAACCGTCTGTGGGTGAAGAGACCATTCCCCTGGGTGAACATTGTCTCTGGATAACATATCCGCACCCTGCTTCAGGATGTCTGGCACATGCGCCGCCCTTAGGGAGCGCAGGTTGTGCTGAGCCCATAAGATGAGGTTTTTGGCCATGGCATGCAGGTTGTTTGACCTGAGACAGCCCTAGCGATTTATATAAGACACCACTGCAATGTTGTCCGTCCGGACCAGGATGTGGTGGCCTTTTAAGTACGGGAGAAAGGCTTTCAGCGATAGAGCGACTGCTCTCATCTCTAGACAGTTTATATGTAGGCGCTTCTCCAGGCTTGACTATAGGCCAGAGACGGGCCTGCCCTTGTAAAGGGTCCCCCAACCTAGGTTGGAGGCATTTGTCGAGATCACTTTTCTCCTTGTAACCACACCCATACTTACTCCTGACTGATACCAGTCGTTTGCTTTCCAGGGAGCCAGGGCTCTGATAAAAAGTAAGTGGATCAGTTTACCCCCCGCTGGTTCACTTTACCCCCTTGATTTCTCTGGTCTGTCTCAGTTTACCCCTAAGCTGGGGTAAAGTGAGACACAAGACCACTTTTTAAAAAACAATCATATTTTCACTGCCCTTCGTCCTGAATACATTCTGATAATTTCCATTGCTAGGAAACATCCTGAATTAATGGGAAATGTGTAAATTTTACTGATATATCATTTTAGCTCACTTAGAGGAGAGCAAATGTAAAAAATGTCTCACTTTACCCCACTCTCCCCTATTTGTTGATTTCTGTCTTGAACTGGTCAGTGTTTTTGTTCATTCATTCGGAATTAAAAGCTCATCACATGATGAATCCCATTTAGCGACCAAGAACCTTTGAACACGAAGTACAAGACTTAAAATGACTGAATAATGAATTCATAATCTAGATTGTCAACAAAACAGATATGAGGAAGTCAGCATTAGAATGTGGTGAAACAAGAACAAGACTTTGAAGCAAAGCACCTGTATTGTGTCTATGTGCTTGTCAACATGAACTTGCTAAAAAAAACTGCATGTCATCGTGAGCCCTGCTTTGTTACACTGATTATATATGCAATCTATTTTTACTCTCATTCTTACAGACAGGTTAGTGTCCATGCACATGCAGCAGGGAATAGCAGATTAATATTGGTCGGTTCAAGTATATATAAACTATACAATTAATTCTGTATTTGGATTTACCAATTTTATCAATTCACTATACTATTCAAGTTAGTACGATTGTTTTTTTTTATTACAACTTTAAAATTGAAAAAATGTAATTGGTCAAAAGTAACAGTATAAACATTTATAATGTTACAAATTATTTTTTTTAAATGGATAAACGCTGTGGTTTTAAACTTTCTATTCATCAAAGAATCCAGATTTTTTTTATTATCATGGTTTCCAATAAAATATTAAGCTGCACAACTGTTTCAGCATTGATAATAATAAGAAATGTTTCTTGAGCAGCAAATCATATCATTTAAGAAGGATTTCTGAAGGATCATGTGACACTGAAGACTGGAGTAATGATGCTAAAAATGTCAAATTTGCATCACAGGAATGAATAAAATTTTCAAATACATTCAAATAGAAAATTGTTCTTTTAAATTGTAATAATTTCTGCACAATATTGCTGTTTTACTGTATTGTTGAACAAATAATGCAGCCTTAGTGAGCATGAGGCTTCTTTCAAAAACATTAAAAAAAATTACTGAGCCAAATTTTAGTAGTGTAAATAATTAATCAAATCTGACACATTTTAGAAAATGTTTTGAAAATTCGTTTTTGGTTAGAATGATGGTTCTTGTTAGGATTTCTTTTTTTAAAAGACCTCTTTTGTACAATACTCTTTGTCATGCATTTTCATTTCTGTTTTGGTAACTGGAAACATGTGAGCTGTTGTACGCTTGAGAGTTTAAGAGTCTGAATTTGTAGTTTAGCTAATAATTGATTTATTATCTGATAAAACAATCTTATAGGGTCATTATCATAACCCACTTCTCCGTGTGTGGGTCAACTTTATCAGTCAGTTACAGGTATAATGAAGATTTCAATGCTTCTGCTTTCAGATTGAATAAATCACACACACACACACACACACACACACCTTGTTTACATGTGCAGACATCTGAAAATTATTGAAATTATTTGCATGAATTTAAAACTTATAAGCACTTTATACCACAAAACTAATTCATTTCATGCAACACTACACTTCCTTTGCATGCATTTAATTATTATGGTTTCATTTTGTAATGCACATCTAACTATAAAGGTTGCAAAATTTGCAGTGTCATATTATTTACGAATTACAATTGTATTCCACAAAACTATTTGCTTTCTGCCATACTACACTTCTTTTGCATGTTTTAAATGATTCTTTATTAATAATAATAATAGTAAGAAGAAGAATTACATTTTTATGGTTTCATTTTGTAGTGTACATTTTTTGGTTTAATTTAGCATTGTACATCTCAGTATGAAGATTACAAAGTTTGGAGAGTTGCATCTCAGAATGTTTTGCATAAAGTAACGGGTTGTCTTTTGACACAATGTCTTCAAATATAAACAGTCCTGTTTCAGAAATTCGGACTTTCCCAGAATTGGAGCAGTCAGATTTTCCTGGCGCATCAGTTGTGAAAACCCATGCCCATCCCAATCTGAGGCTTATAAAATAGAGCGGGCTGGATGAAGATGATGCGACTGAACTGAGCAAACCAAAGGTAAGAGACTGACTAAACTCACCTCTATATTAATGCAAATGAATGCTAATGTACAGGGATCACACTTCTCTTTGAGTGTAAGATAAGTTGCTAAGGATAAAAGCATTTTCTAAGGATTGTCCAAATATGTTTATGTGTTCAGGTATAATCATGAAGCTCATTCTTGCTGTGCTGGTGGTGTTTTTGGTGGTTGGGACCCAGGCGCAGTCGTACCGCTTCCCAGTAGAAGCCGTTCTAGGTCACTTATTTGTCCTTTAATACCTCCATTTAACTTAAGTCAAATTTGAGATATATTTGAACCATTTTCACCGTGTCTCCTAGGTTCGTGGGACATGGGGAAAGCCTACTGGCATATGAGGCAGGCCAACTATAAGAACTCAGACAAGTATTTCCATGCACGTGGGAACTATGATGCTGCAAACAGAGGCGCGGGAGGCAGATGGGCAGCCGAAGTCATCAGGTACATACAAAAATCATACTAACTGTGGCAGATTTGATTACTCTATTCCTGATAAGCACTCAGATTGTGTCTCCCTCACTCTACAATGAAACAGCAGCATATTAAAATGGATGTTTAAATGATTTTGGGGAATTTCCTAATCATGTTATGTTAATGATGTGTGCAGTGATAGAAGAGAGACTCCATTAATGGGTTATGGTAACAGCGGCAAGTCTGATTCTGAAGCCGACCAGGAGGCCAATCGCTGGGGGCGTAACGGTGGAGACCCCAACCGCTACAGGCCCGAAGGCCTTCCCACGAAGTACTGAATACAGAAAAGCTCTGAAATCATCAGTGCCTCCTGGATCTTATTTGTTCTTGTTGTTGCTCTAAAATTGCTTGATTAAATTTTGCATGACAAATATAAAACTTGATTATCATTAATTAAATCTGCATTTATGACAACAAAAATGTAATCTTGATTGTCACACTGATTTGACTGTTTTGAGCATCATTTAGTCTGTAACATGTTATAGCATCTGATTAAAGAATGCAACTTATTCATGTGTAGCTATGTCTATTTTAATTGTTGTTGTTGTTTTTTGCATTTAACAGTAATGCATATGACATAAAAACAAATTTGACCCCAAAATTGGTAGGTACACACACACACACACACACACACCATGAGAGCTGAACACTTCATATGTCTCAAGCTTGTTCCACCATAAAACGGGCAACAATTCTCATTCAGAAAGCATACATTGTCAATTTTCTTGCCAAAGACAAAAAGTCAAGGGGGAAAAAACAAATTCCTGAGGCAATAATTACAACAAAAAAGAAAACATCAGCAACATGTAGGCCTAATAAAGCTTTACAAAATACATCAAAAACATGTATAGTACAATGATGTTTGTGCAGTATTGGAGTCCAAAATGTGCCAGGTCTTTTTGTGTAGAGCTTGTTCTCCCCGTTCTGACTTTCCTCTGGGTTTACCCCACAATCCAAAGACATACAGGACAGGTGCAAGTTATTACCTATAACCTAAGTTTGTAGATGTGAGTGTGAATATGAATGTGTGTGACACACACATCCAACACTCCACCCTGAACAGTTCACATTTAATTAAATTACACCTTTCAAACAGTCACAACATGTGACTTAATGAGAAAACGTTTGTCGCTGAAAGAATGATCAATACATTGAGAAATACTTGCAACATTTACAATATAGATATGTATAAATACAACCGCAATAGTGTGTATTTAGTGAAAACATAGTTCGATTACTTTCAGCAACTTTACTGTTTAGTTACTTTAAACATTCTGAATCTAATTGCGTATTATTGATATTTGTCATGCTTATTGTCATGCTTTTAGCATCATCCGTGTGATGGACCCCTGTCAGGGTGTTTTCTTGTCTACGACCCGAGACGCTGGGAAAGACTCCAGCCTCCCCACGACCCAATAGGATGGGTGGATGAACAGTACTGTGAGGGTTCTAGTCCTCTCTCTCTATGCAACTTTTCTTTCCCCACCAATGTGTCTCATTCACGTCAGTGGTTGTTTAAGTTGGAGCGCCTCCAGCTGGTCACTCAAGCACAATGTCTTTACACTACTTTTTCATTACTAACATATAGTACAATTCTGTGGTTTCTTTTAAACCAGTCCTTCACGATTATTATAAAATAACTTAAATCGAGTGTTCATTTTATTTCATTTGGTAACATATTCCCAAGTTTTAACTCATTAATGAAGGAGGGATAACGCCTAACTTTACTTTGCTAAATTACTATTAAATCCTAATCTAATTATGACAAACTAGGCCTATATATGGTTGGAAAGGTCTAAGACTCCTAAATAGATATTTGACTGCTGTTTTTTGCTACAAATTATGTAGGAAGAGTAACCGATGAATTTTTGACAAGAGTGCACCTCAAAAAAATCTGCATCATAACAGGAGTTCTGACCTTTGTCACAAAAAGTGGAGGCACACACCTTTAATAATTGAAACTTTGGTTTTCATGCTAAAAGTTCATAATAAAACATATAATCTAGTATTTTTCAATAAAAAATTATAATATAATATTGTCCTCTAAAAAGTACTATATACATTATCCTCTAAAATATAATATTATCTTTTTTTATCGCCTTTTTTATTACATCACATATTTTAGTAGTTATCATAAATTAGGTATCATTTGAAAGCTTACAAACTCAGAACTCATCCTGTGAAAACCGTTTTGAAATTGAACGTTGCGTTACCATACAAACGGTACTCTAAATTATTTTATCAGGCTCCTCCCTTTTTGAACATATCATAATTTATGATCAAAACCTTTTCTAATCCAGACAAAACACATATTGTCAGAAAGGTCTTAGTCTCAAGGTTCCAAATTTTGTGACAGAATTGATATCTGGACAGAAATGTATTAATTTGTTAAGGCAGAATGTATACAACTAAATTCAATGGAATGTGTCACCCGGTGGCTATTTTTGGTACTACGCCTAAACAAAATCTCATGGGAACTTCAATTTTTGTGATATCAACTTCAAATTTGGAACACAACTTGGTTAGATATATGGCTTTGATTTTATAGTAATTTTAGAGTAAAAAATATTTAGTAAAATATATATTTTTTATAAAATAAAAAATATATAGTACAGTATATTTGATTTACTGTAAATTTAAACTTCCATAACTTTTTTCACTTCAGCAATAATCTGCTGAGTGTTTCCTTTAAAACAAGACCGAACTTGGGTCTATATTCCAAAGCATTCTTGAATTACAACCATTTAAGTTTGAATAGTGCATTTTAACCCCCATTTTCAAAAAGGGGGGTGACAGCAAAGGGGTTAAATGCTTCAGAAAAGTTCGACTTTATGAACACGTGAAATGCTTCATATTTAAAAAGGGGTTTATTTATTTTTTTATATATTCCCATCTTGCAATCATTCTATGTTGTTTGATGCTCTTGTGTCTGATGTACCATTGCACTAAAACTTCAAACTTTCAATAAAACTGAGTGTCAAAATGATTTTGCCAATGTATCTGAAAGTGAAATCATATATTCAAACACAATGGTTTGCTAGTGTTGGCTACATCTGACTGCAGGCATCTGGAATTACCATGTATTGGGATGATACTTACACTGCAAGAACAATCTGTTTTAATATTTGGGAGTGCAAACAGGAAAATTCCATACAAAAGCAAAACTGAAATTACTCAGACACTGTGGCCAACCAAGTAAAGCAGTCTTAAAAGGTAGTCAATGATCTGTTTTGAATCATTACATAAGGGGGAAAAATACCACAAAAAAACCCATTAATTTCATCTTTGTATTCACATCCTGATGAATGGCACTAGCAACATCAAGATCATGGGTGTGATTCCCAGGAATGCATGACCTGATCATACATGTAACTTGAATGCAATAGTCACTTTGGATAAAAGTGTCCGCCAAATGCATGAAAAAGTTACATATTCAGATATAAGCTATTCAGTTATATAATGGTTTGGATTAGAATAGATAGCCAAGTAAATAATCATGACAACCGACTTCCCAGAAGTTGTGCAACACAGAAATCGGCCAAACCATTGGCATCACATAACCGGGAAACTCCCATGTCCAAACACAAGCCCATTATAGTCAATGATGGTCTTGCGACACCTAACTGTCACGGTAGATGTATTCGCTGGTTCCTTCTAGTCTTGTGTTTATGTTGTTGTATGAGTGCACGTGTGCAAGGGGCGTGTCTGTATGTCATTACCTGATCCACTCCAGCTGTTCATCATTACAATCACCAGCTGCAGTTCATCTCACCACGCTTCTTAAACTCACCGCTGTTCTCTCACCTTTGTCAGATCGTTGTTTGATGTTCCCCTGTCTTCTGGTTCGTGTTCCTGCCTGGTGTTTCCTGTTCGTCGTCTTCCGTGTGGATTTGGATCGTCTCACCGTTTGTCTGCACGTCACCGGTATTGACCATCGAAGTCCCTGCGTCACCTATCTCCACCTGGCTCACTGCACCCTGGACTTGTGTGTTTTGTGCTTCAAATAAATATTGTATTATACTCGCGATTGCTTCCTGTGTTTCTGCCTAACATGACAGAACGATCTGACCATGGTATGGAAGCAGCGAGCGCCTCGTCATCCTCACTCGAAGAGTTCATCCATCACAGCATCCGTAGAATGGACTCGCAAGAGAAGGAGATTGGAGATACGGGCCGTGCAGTTCAAGCCCTGGTGACGCAGATGTCCGAGCTCACCCAGCAGATCCAGCGCCTACGACCTCCCACTGCGCCACCCACACCGGCCGTTCCTCCCGCACCATCAGGAAGCCCCTCCCAGTCAGAACCCCGGCTACCCACCCCAGAGGCATACTCAGGTGAACCATCATTTTGTAGAGCTTTTTTGACTCGATGTTCTATGCACTTTTCCCTGCAACCTCACACTTTTCAGACCGAGCAAGCCAAAGTGGCGTTTGTGCTGACGCTATTGACTGGGAGAGCGGCACTCTGGGGAACGGCGGTGTGGGAAAACCAAAATCCATGCTGTGCCTCGTTCCAGACCCTCGCCGCCGAGATGAGACTGGTTTTTGACCGTGCGGTCACTGGAAGAGAGGCGGCCAGAACATTGGTCGAGCTACGGCAGGGAAGAAGATCAGTGTCCGAGTTTTCCATCGAGTTCCGGACCTTGGCGGCGGAGTGTGGATGGAACGAGGAGGCGCAGTGGGACATGTTCCTGCATGGGCTGGCTGACCACGTCCAGAAGGAGATCTACGCCCTGGATCTTCCCACTACCCTCAACGGACTCATTGATCTGGCCCTACGGGTGGACGCTCGGCTGTCCAGAGTCGAGCGTCGAGCCACGCCCACCCGCACACTTGAGGCAGCCGACGGGCTACGATCCAGTGGCAGGGACGTGGTCAGCCCCGTCTACGATCACGAGCCCATGCAGGTGGGTCGAGCTCGGCTTTCCCGGGAGGAGAGGGAGAGGCGGAGGTCCCAGGGCCTTTGCCTGTACTGCGGAGGAGCCGAACACTACGCCTACAACTGTCCGGTAAAAGGCCCAGCCCGATAGTAAACATGAGGCTACTATCGGGTGGGATCTCCGCCAGGAAGACCTCATCCACGACAAGATCTACCTCCACCCTCCTCTCGGTAAGACTAAGATGGTCAGTCCACCAGCACGATTGTCAAGCACTGTTGGATTCGGGGGCCGAAGGTAATTTCATGGACCATAATTTTGCACGCAGATTTCAGATTCCCATCAAACCCCTCCCACAGCAGATTGCAGTTCATGCACTCAACGGACAAGAACTTCCCACCATCTCATTATC